GGCGGGGTGGAGGAGGAGGGGGGGTGTGGAGGGGGCTGGGTAATGAGAAGAGACCAACCAATGAGGAGAGAGTCCAGGAACCTCACACCTTAGAACAGAGAGCGCTCTCTAGACGTCTCTCTCTCTCTCAGTGGTGGTGCTCTCCGCGGTCTCTGGCGGGGGTTGTAGTCTCTCTCCCCGGTCTCCGGGCAGTGGTGGGGTGGGGGGCAGGGAAGAGGGTCTCAGTGCAGTGTGTTGAGTAGAGTTGGGGCCCCTGGGTTACTTGAAGGGGGAGGAGTCGTTGCAGAGTACGAGCTCCAGCTCCTTGCGGTAGAGGCGTCCCGCGTCACACAGCGACATCATGCTCTTCCGGTATCCCGTCAGGCTCTGAATATCCACATTCTGAAACCAGAAAACACTCATGAGTCTGTGGCCCCCGGGGTTTGCCCGTTCTATGTGGCCCCTGGAAGGACTCTCACCTTTTTACTTTTCTCAAAGAAGTCTTTCAGTAAAGCGTCCAATTCATTCTCATCAATGTAGCCGTTGCGATCCTGCAAGAGTCCAACATGGAGCCCATCAGACCTCCCATATATAACGGGGGATGGGGGGGCCCATCAGACCTCCCATATATAACGGGGGATGGGGGGGCCCATCAGACCTCCCATATATAACGGGGGATGGGGACCCATCAGACCTCCCATATATAACGGGGGATGGGGGGCCCATCAGACCTCCCATATATAACGGGGGATGGGGGGCCCATCAGACCTCCCATATATAACGGGGGATGGGGGGCCCATCAGACCTCCCATATATAACGGGGGATGGGGGCCCATCAGACCTCCCATATATAACGGGGGATGGGGGGCCCATCAGACCTCCCATATATAACGGGAGATGGGGGGCCCATCAGACCTCCCATATATAACGGGAGATGGGGGGCCCATCAGACCTCCCATATATAACGGGGGATGGGGGGCCGGTGCCATGCGGGTGTCACCGCTGAGGGTGACAACAGAGGTTTAGATACGCGTCTTCTGCAGAACATGTGACCGCCGCGCAGCCGCGCCAAGGCCCCTGTAACCCCCAATACCCGGCATCATATCCCTGTGATGGACGTCACCAGCTCACCTTGTCATAGAAGCTGAAGATTGCATTAAACTCGTCACAGCTCAGCTTCATTCCCTGCAAAATAATCAGATATACACTGTGCTGTACATGACATACTCCTCTATATACACTGTGCTGTACATGACATACTCCTCTATATACACTGTGCTGTACATGACATACTCCTCTATATACACTGTGCTGTACATGATATACTCCTCTATATACACTGCGCTGTACATGACATACTCCTCTATATACACTGTGCTGTACATGATATACTCCTCTATATACACTGCGCTGTACATGACATACTCCTCTATATACACTGTGCTGTACATGACATACTCCTCTATATACACTGTGCTGTACATGACATACTCCTCTATATACACTGCGCTGTACATGACATACTCCTCTATATACACTGTGCTGTACATGACATACTCCTCTATATACACTGTGCTGTACATGACATACTCCTCTATATACACTGTGCTGTACATGATATACTCCTCTATATACACTGCGCTGTACATGACATACTCCTCTGTATACACTGCGCTGTACATGATATACTCCTCTATATACACTGCGCTGTACATTATATACTGTAGATGCGTCAGGTGACAATTGTCCCGTACCTCAAACTTCAGTAGAAAGTTCTCCTGCACAGGAAGGAGCCTGCAAGAGAGAAGACATTCCGTTATCATTCCCTCTGTAATACCTGCAACCGAACAGGAAGATGTATTGTCCTGATAAATGTTACTTTGTATCTCTCTATCTCCCTCTGATCAATGTATATAAACAATGTTACTTTGTATCTCTCTATCTCCCCCTCTGATCAATGTTTATAAACAATGTTACTTTGTATCTCTCTATCTCCCTCTGATCAATGTTTATAAACAATGTTACTTTGTATCTCTCTATCTCCCTCTGATCAATGTTTATAAACAATGTTACTTTGTATCTCTCTATCTCACTCTGATCAATGTTTATATACAATGTTACTTTGTATCTCTCTATCTCCCTCTGATCAATGTATATAAACAATGTTACTTTGTATCTCTCTATCTCCCTCTGATCAATGTTTATATACAATGTTACTTTGTATCTCTCTATCTCCCTCTGATCAATGTTTATAAACAATGTTACTTTGTATCTCTCTATCTCCCTCTGATCAATGTTTATAAACAATGTTACTTTGTATCTCTCTATCTCCCTCTGATCAATGTTTATAAACAATGTTACTTTGTATCTCTCTATCTCCCTCTGATCAATGTTTATAAACAATGTTACTTTGTATCTCTCTATCTCCCTCTGATCAATGTTTATAAACAATGTTACTTTGTATCTCTCTATCTCCCTCTGATCAATGTTTATAAACAATGTTACTTTGTATCTCTCTATCTCCCTCTGATCAATGTTTATAAACAATGTTACTTTGTATCTCTCTATCTCCCTCTGATCAATGTTTATAAACAATGTTACTTTGTATCTCTCTATCTCCCTCTGATCAATGTTTATAAACAATGTTACTTTGTATCTCTCTATCTCCCTCTGATCAATGTTTATAAACAATGTTACTTTGTATCTCTCTATCTCCCTCTGATCAATGTTTATAAACAATGTTACTTTGTATCTCTCTATCTCCCTCTGATCAATGTTTATAAACAATGTTACTTTGTATCTCTCTATCTCCCCTCTGATCAATGTTTATAAACAATGTTACTTTGTATCTCTCTATCTCCCTCTGATCAATGTTTATAAACAATGTTACTTTGTATCTCTCTATCTCCCTCTGATCAATGTTTATAAACAATGTTACTTTGTATCTCTCTATCTCCCTCTGATCAATGTTTATAAACAATGTTACTTTGTATCTCTCTATCTCCCTCTGATCAATGTTTATAAACAATGTTACTTTGTATCTCTCTATCCCCCTCTGATCAATGTCTATATACAATGTTACTTTGTATCTCTCTATCTCCCTCTGATCAATGTTTATAAACAATGTTACTTTGTATCTCTCTATCCCCCTCTGATCAATGTTTATAAACAATGTTACTTTGTATCTCTCTCCCTCTGATCAATGTTTATAAACAATGTTACTTTGTATCTCTCTATCTCCTCTGATCAATGTTTATAAACAATGTTACTTTGTATCTCTGCATCTTCTGGCGGCGGGGGAGGACAGGACATACTATGATGAAGTGGCCGAGTGTCCACAATGAGGCAGAGGATTTCCTTGCACGTGATTGGACGATAGACGTCGGCACACTTCCCCCTTATTGGCTGAGCTCAGGGGAGATTTCCCTCACATGGTGAAGCTGATTTTCTCGGGGACAATAATCGGTTGTTATGTACGAGGAGTGAGGACGCCGGCGTTACCTGGACATTTCCGACAAGCAGAGCTTCCCATCGCCATTCAGGTCGAACATTCGCAGCTACGAGACAAGGAAATAGAGTGTCAGCTCAGTGGACAAGGAAAACCTGGATGTCCTCGCCCTTTCATTGTCGGACGGAATTTAGCGGCATCGCTACGAGTCATATAACTTCCCGATGCCTCTGCCAATTATTGGCCGGTAGAGATATGGTGTATTGATGACATAGAAGGCGCTGTGTCTGCTGCTCATCTTCTGTATTTACGGAAAGATGAGAAACGGACAAAAACCTAAAAAAATGCTTTTCGCCTTATTTTACACAAACGCATTTTATTGGTTTTTAACCTTCATTTTTTTTTTTTTGCAAGGTACAGTGACAGCTGAGGCCAGCAGAGAATTCCTATAACATTCTCTACAAAGCACAGTGACAGCTGGAGGCCGCATTACATCCTATGCGGGTCGCAGTGACAGATGAGGCCAACAGTAAATTCGCATCGCTACCTGTACATGGGACAGTGGCAGCTGAGGCAGGAAACTCACTTTATGTGACAGTGGCCCGGAAACTTGTCCTGTGGGAGGCACAGTGACAGCTGAAGCAAGCAGGGAATTCATATTACACGGTGGCAGCTGAGGCCAGCAGATCTCTCACATTATGTCCTGGACAAAAGCACGGTGAGAGCGGAGGACAGCAAAGGAACTCGCATTGCATCATGTATGGGGCAAAGTGACAGCTGAGGCCAGCATGCAACTCACATGCTGTGCCGGGTACAGTGACAGCTGAGGCCAGCATGCAACTCACATGCTGTGCCGGGTACAGTGACAGCTGAGGCTAGCATGTAACTCACATGCTGTGCCGGGTACAGTAACAGCTGAGGCCAGCATGTAACTCACATGTGTGCCGGGTACAGTGACAGCTGAAGCTAGCATGTAACTCACATGCTGTGCCAGGTACAGTGACAGCAGAGGCCAGCATGTAACTCACATGCTGTGCCAGGTACAGTGACAGCTGAGGCTAGCATGTAACTCACATGCTGTGCCAGGTACAGTGACAGCTGAGGCTAGCATGTAACTCACATGCTGTGCCAGGTACAGTGACAGCAGAGGCCAGCATGTAACTCACATGCTGTGCCGGGTACAGTGACAGCTGAGGCCAGCATGTAACTCACATGTGTGCCGGGTACAGTCACAGCTGAGGCCAGCATGTAACTCGCATGCGGTGCCAGGTACAGTGACAGCTGAGGCTAGCATGTAACTCACATCCGGTGCCAGGTACAGTGACAGCTGAGGCTAGCATGTAACTCACATCCGGTGCCAGGTACAGTGACAGCTGAGGCTAGCATGTAACTCACATCCGGTGCCAGGTACAGTGACAGCTGAGGCTAGCATGTAACTCACATCCGGTGCCAGGTACAGTGACAGCTGAGGCTAGCATGTAACTCACATCCGGTGCCAGGTACAGTGACAGCTGAGGCTAGCATGTAACTCACATCCGGTGCCAGGTACAGTGACAGCTGAGGCTAGCATGTAACTCACATCCGGTGCCAGGTACAGTGACAGCTGAGGCTAGCATGTAACTCACATCCGGTGCCAGGTACAGTGACAGCTGAGGCTAGCATGTAACTCACATCCGGTGCCAGGTACAGTGACAGCTGAGGCTAGCATGTAACTCACATGCTGTGCCGGGTACAGTGACAGCTGAGGCCAGCATGTACCTCGCATGCGGTGCCAGGTACAGTGACAGCTGAGGCCAGCATGTAACTCACATGCTGTGCCGGGTACAGTGACAGCTGAGGCCAGCATGTAACTCACATGTGTACCAGGTACAGTGACAGCTGAGGCCAGGAGGCAATTTTGATTACATCCGTATGAGGTACAGTGACAGCTTAGGCCAACAAGGAGCTCATATTACATCCTGGGCAAGGCACAGTGACAGTGGTGCCCAGCAGGGAACTCATATCACATCCTGTGTGAGGCAGTGACAGATAAAGCCACTGGGGAATGCATATGGCATCCTGTAGGAGTTACAGTGACAGCTGATGCCAGCAAGGAACTTGCATTACATCCTGGACAAGCTACAGTGACATCTGAGGCCAACAGGGAACTCACATTAGATCCTGGGCAAGGGACAGTGACAGAACATGCTGTGCCGGGTACAGTGACAGCTGAGGCCAGCATGTAACTCACATGTGTACCAGGTACAGTGACAGCTGAGGCCAGGAGGCAATTTTGATTACATCCGTATGAGGTACAGTGACAGCTTAGGCCAACAAGGAGCTCATATTACATCCTGGGCAAGGCACAGTGACAGTGGTGCCCAGCAGGGAACTCATATCACATCCTGTGTGAGGCAGTGACAGATAAAGCCACTGGGGAATGCATATGGCATCCTGTAGGAGTTACAGTGACAGCTGATGCCAGCAAGGAACTTGCATTACATCCTGGACAAGCTACAGTGACATCTGAGGCCAACAGGGAACTCACATTAGATCCTGGGCAAGGGACAGTGACAGCTGAGGCACTCGCATTACATCCTGTACAGTCTAAGTTAAAATGTCTTTCTTTTGCCTCCACATTTCTGCCTCTCATCTGCTGCAGAAGCTTCTTGTAACATCATAAAGGATTATTTGACCCGATTCTACAACAAGAAGAAGTCTGCGCGGGGCAACTAGAGATAAGAGGGGGCCCTGGGGCAAGATGTGCAGCAGGGCGCGCGGCTTGGACACTTACAATGGTCTGCGTGTACTCCTGCAGCTTCTTCTCATCGAACGGTCGGTTGGCCTTCTTCAGGAGGTCGCAGAGGAACCCCTGCGGCAGAGAACAGAGAGATGATCAGCAGAGTGCACAGCGCAGGATACGGCCAGTGACTGAGCGACGCGAGGATCCCGCTGATCAGTCAGTGCGCAGCGACAACGTAACCCGGCAACCATAACAGGAAGCACACGATGGAGAGAAGGAGCGGGGACCACTCACTGCAGTCCTCAGAACTATGAATCTCCCGACTTCCACAACCAGAGCTTACTGGATGACTGTGAAGGTGCAGAGGAGTCTTAGAAGACAGTTGGCTGTGCGGGCACATGACCTGACCACCTGACCTGACCACATGACCTGACCACCTGACCTGACCACCTGACCTGACCTGACCACCTGACCTGACCACCCCGGGTTTCATAAACCTTTCTCCAGCGTGTGTGTGCTGCACCCACAGACATCATCAGTAGGGACTGA